TTGTTGGGGGCTGGCTATGAACTTGTGATTCTCCTGCCTCAGCCCCCCAAGCCACTGGGATTAGAGGTTGTTGGACCATTTTTATAATAGTTGCTTCAATATTTTTTTCAGGTAATTCCAACATCCAGGTTATCTCAGCATCAGTGTCCATGAATTGCCTTTTCCACTCAAGTTTAGATTTTCAAGTTCTTCAGGTGCTGAATAATTTGGAATTTTATCCTCGATATTTCAAATATTACTTCATGAGAACTTGTAGCCAATAGAGGAATGTTTGTATTTTTGTTATAGTTTATCAACATGATTGGGTTTAGATCACAAGTTCTGATCACCCTTTTGTGGATCATTGCTTCAAAGCCAAATCAGTTTTCAAAACTTTTGCAGTGCTCTTCAGATCTATTCTACCTGTGTTTTATCTAGTACCTAGCCTAGGACTTGGGTGGAGATATGTTTCTTAGTTATCACAATCTTTGGCATGATTTTTAGTATCAGATCCATGGAGAAGGTCAAGGTGAACCTAGAAATTTGTAAACACCTTTATGGAATTTTTTTAAAATTTCTAATTTTATTTGGACACAATACCTTTATTTTCTTTATTTATTTATACATGGTGTTGAGGATCAAACCCAGGGCCTCTCACATGCTAGGCGAGTGCTCTACCCTTGAGCCCCAGCCCCAGCCCTGGGCTTGTTTTTTAATATAAACTAAATTGTACTTTTTTATAGCTTTATTTTATTCATTTATTTTTATGTGGTGCTAAGGATTGAACCCAGGGCCTCACACATGCTAGGCAAGTGCTCTGCCACTGAGCCACAAACCCAGCTCAATGTGCTTGTTTTTTTGACCTTCTCCCTCTCCACAATTTCTCTGGTACTTTTTGATTTCTTGTAGTTCTCTTCTTGATCTACTAGCAAGAATCCTGGGTCTTTATTTACTCTTCTTTGCCATGTACATAATGCAACTTTGCCCATATTTTCTTCCAGGTAACAGTAGAGAGAGAGAAAAAAATATCATTGAGGGTTTGCCCCCACTGTCTTGATGATATGGGATCCTGGGATCTTTTGACTTGATGATGATGAAAATGACTTCAAGTCAGGTGAGTGAATAGGCAGGCAAGGCTTTTTAATGGGGCTTCCATTTAGGAAGGGAGACACAGTTCTGACAAGATGTCTAGCTGGCTCTGAAAAAAAGAAGGGAGCTTGTTTTATTGATTATTTGCAGGTGTGCAAATGCTAATTGTCTTTAGATGTACTCAACTCAATCATTTTACCCTGGGCTAGAGATAAGTTCCTGCAGCTGTTCAAGAGAACACATACAGGGCACCCTGATCTCATCAATGCACAGTTGATGGTGGTTGAGGGTAGTGAACACCAAGCCTTCTGGGGTCTTCTGTCAGGCCATGAAGCAAGGCCAAGAAGTGCATCTGCCCTTGGTCCCTATGGCAGTCCCTGTTGTTAGGACCACAACCACTCCAACCAGGGGGAAGAATTTTCCCTCTCTTGGCATTTTGAATGCTTGTGGGTTCTGTGTCCTCCATTATCACTGACTCAGCTGCCACAGTAGCATTGTTTATTGGTTAAGGCTTAAGAGAATTAATAGTAAAAAAGGGAAAATGGTATTTATCAGAGTTTTCTGAACATTAGGTGACTTATTTCCTGCTCTTCCTGAAGCTCTCTCTGTCCATGTCAATCCCGCTTCTGGGATTTTGGATTTCCTTGGGTCCAGTCCAGTGTAGACTGGAAGAAAAAATGGTAAACTCAACACCAGTTTTTACTTCAAATTCTGATTTTCTTCCTAAACTTACCTAACAAAATTACTTTTCAGAACCTGTAAAGAGTTCCTCTGTGCATTCTATTAAGGATTTTCTCTCTCTTTTTGAGATGGGGGGTCTCACTCTGTTGCCCAGGCTGGTCTTGAACACCTGGGTTCAAGCAACCCTCTTGCCTCAGCCTCCCAAGTAGCTGGGACTACTGGCACATGTCCAGATCTGTTTAGGTTTTATAGCTGCATTCATTGGGAGAGAATGGGTTGATTAAGATTATTCTGTATTAACTGGAATCAGAAACCTCTGTGTTTCATAAGTTAGTTTGCATATATATGTATAGATAATGGAGTGTTTGGCGTATATTTATGAAAAGTCAGGTGGAGATTTTCATGTTCTGACTTGACTACTTTATACAATAATTACTCTTCTGATTATCTATTACTGTGGAAGAAGTCACCTTCAAACTCAGTACCCTAACTTAAACTAACATCAATCATTTCATCAATCAGGTTCAGGTGTTTAGGCTCAGCTAGATGATTCTTTGGTTCATCCTTTTTAAATTTTTTTTAAAATTTTTTGTTCCGGGGGATTGAATCAGAGGCTCTTCACCAATTTATACCTGAAGCCCCCCCTTTAAATTTTTTTTGTAGTTGTATATGGACAGGATGCCTTTGTTTTGTTTATTTTTATGTGGTGTTGAGGATTAAACTCAGTGCCTCATGCATGCTAGGCAAGCGCTCTGCCGCTGCGCTACAGCCCCAGCCCACCCTGCAGCCCTTTTTTATTTTTTATTTTGAGACAGGGCCTCACTAAGTTGCTAAGGCTGGGCTCAAACTTGTAATCCTCCTGTCTCAGTCTCCTGAGTCACTGGGATTATAGGTGTGCACCACCATGCCCAGCAGCTAGATTGTTCTTGCTTGTGGCCTCTCATAGATTTATAGTAAGATTGTGACTGAAAACAAAATAATTTGAATGCTCAGTAATTAACATATATGACATTTGGGCTAGGAATACTAAAAAGTTGGGGCTCCTGTGACATCTGCTTCTATTGATGGATGGGCTTTCTATATGAATTCTCTTGCATGGCAGCTTCAAGGTAGGTAGATTTCTTACTTAGAAGCCCAAAGTTTCAGAGTGAGTGGAGAGTGTATGAGAAGGAAAGTGAGACTGAGAGCAACACACACATAGGAGCTAGACCACCTTTTCTGACCTAGCCTTACAAATCACATCAATTGCTACTTTTTGTTCTTTGAGATAGTACCAAAGGTTCATGTAAATTCAAGGGGAGGGAACATAGATGTCATCTCTTGATGAAGTGTGCTAAGGTTCTAGGATTGAAAATACAGTTGGAGTCCATTTTTGGAAAATACAATCTGTCTCAAATACTAAGAAATCTGTACTATTTTTGTACCAGGGATTGAAGCCAGGGGTGATTAACCAGTGAGCCACATCCCCAGCCTTTTTTGTATTTTAGTTAGAAACAAGGTCTCACTGAATTTTTTTAGGGCATCACTAGGTTGCTGAGGCTGGCTTTGAACTCAGGATCCTCCTGCCTCAGCCTCCTGAGCTGCTGGGATTACTGGCATGTGCCACTATGCCTGGCTCAAAATCTGTACTTTTAAGGTAGCTTCAGCTACAGGGAAAAATCCTGTCCTTGATTTCTGGGAGTTCAAGAGGGCATAAGATTATGATTGATTTGACCAGTTTTTAGTAAAGACAGCCTTTCCGTAACTTTCCTGAAATTAGATCAAAATTCCCCATTGTTGTCTAACCATCTGGGTTTTTAGTATTGGCAGTTTCACTGGAACCTGCATAGGACTTCTAATTGCATATGAATTTTTTTTTTTTTTTGGCAGGGGCTGGGTGACAGTCTGGAGGAGTAGAGAAAGGCACTGACTAAAATATAGATGAAGAGATTTCCCTGTCATAAAGAGGGCACTCACTGGACACTCTTGGCAGAATGTTCACCTAGAAGGGAACAGGGGAGGCAGCAGTGATCTGAATAGCTTTCCTAACTTCTTCAATGAATTTTCTTAAAAATGCAAAATCCTCTGGGAGAGAAAACAAGGAGAGTTGATGGGAATTATTTCATAATGATTCAATAAACATTTTTGAGCATAGTACTAAGCATCAGGACTTCAATAATTAAGTTGATTTCTCTTTTTTTCTTTGACCAGAGGGACAAGATGGATTGGAAAATTCTAGTTTCTAAGGATTTGTTTCAAGAGGCTTGTTGTGAGGCCAATTCATAAATCTTTTCAGAGTTGAGCTTTGTTCTAAGATTCAAAGACTCCCTGAGCTACCAGGAAGTCAAAATAAAAGGGTCATCAGTGTAAACCCCCTCCCATTGGTCCACCGATCTGTCTTAGGGCCACCTGCTACTCATCTATCCGGTGTGGTGTGTTCACTTCTTTCTGGTTCAAACTTCTTCCCCAAGGGACTTAGCTGCAGTCTTTTTCCAAGAATGTCAGTCTATTTTTTTCCAAATAATGAAGGAGGTATTTCAACGCCCTCTCCCGATTCTGACCTCTATCAATCCTCACATTGACCCAGACTGGAGCAGAGGTTTGAATGAAGCCTAGCAGATTTTGGGGAGTCCTAAGAGATGGAAAGCGATATGAAAGGAGAGGAAAGAGGTCTAGGGGGTTATTTGGCTTCGTGGGTCCTCAGTTCCTTCAGGGTTCCCACTTTACTGGGCCCATACTGGCGTGAGATCAAACTGTTTGCGGAGGCACCAAGAACAGGACTAGAGACCACACCGCGAGGGAATCTAAGCTGATGCTCCTGGCTCCTGCCAGGAGCAGGCAACCTCTGCCGTCCCGTTTAGGCAGCGCGGTGGCGACCCCAGAAGGTCTGGCCAGGTACGCCAAGACCTGGTCAGGAACAGAGACAGGCAAAGGGCCGGCGACCCGCCCGTGGATAGGAAGGCGACAGCTGGCCACGCCTCGGCTGCCTGGTCTGCGCAGGGCGCGGCTCCGCTCAGCAGGGGGATGAACAGGTGCGCGGGCGGGGGGCGGTGCTTGGGGATCCTGCGCACTGTGCGCGCCCCTCCCCCGCGCAGCTCCAGGCGCAGTCCCAGCCCCGGCGCGAGCAGGAGGAGGAGCTGCGGCGGCCACGGCTACTCCAGCAAGTCCGCGGCGCCACGGTAACCCGCCGACGGCGCGGGCTACTGGTACCCGCGTGGAGGAGGCGCAGGCGGCCCTGGGGCAATGGAGCCTGGTGACACGGCGCGCCCGGGCCCTGGGCGGGCTGTCCGTGCGCTGCGGCCACGGCTACTGTTGCTACCACTGTTGCCGCTGCTACTGGGTCGGGGGCTGCGTGCTGGGGCCGCGGCCTCCTCTTCTGGGGCGGCGGCTGAGGACAGCAGCGCCATGGAGGAGCTAGCCACTGAGAAGGAGGCAGAGGAGAGCCACCGGCAAGACAGCGTGAGCCTGCTCACCTTCATCCTGCTGCTCACCCTCACCATCCTCACCATCTGGCTGTTCAAGCACCGCCGGGTGCGCTTCCTGCACGAGACCGGACTGGCCATGATTTATGGTGAGCACCCCTGCCGCACCCCCCACCCCCACATCCCTCCAGCAGCGGGGCCCCTGCGCTCCTCCCAGCGCTGCGCGGTGCTCCCCCTTCACTTGCCAACGTGTTTGGTTTCTTTTGCGTTTCCCGCTGCGACGATGTGAGCTCCCAAGGTCAACTGTCTGCCTTTTCTGGCTTTCTACTACCGTTAAAAAGAATTCCACCCCGTTTCGACGTTTCTTTACCAGGGACCAAGGAAAATGAAAGGCATAGAGATGGCCCAGTTCCTTCCGCCCGGTTCTGTCTCTGTTGCGCCCCTCTCCATCACCCGCCTCCCCACCCCAGTTCAGATCTACATAGAGTGTGTGTATGGGCCAAAGGTGGTTGACTTTTTGGGAGGCCACACCACGTAGGGGTGGGGATGAGGGCTGAAGGTGTCTCTGCTTGGATATGGGCTGGCCCGGCCTCTTATTTGCCACATCCACAGTCAACCTAGGTAGGCGCCCACTTATGAGGTCCGTGTTCCCAGGTCTCTTGTTAATAATAAAGCCAGAACATTAAATGCTGTGATAGGTGAGTTTGGTCCATAACCCAGAGTGATGGCACCACCGTGTTAAGCTTCTAGACTGGAGACAAGTTCACGTCCTTCTCTTAGATCCCAGTG